TTGTAGCAAAACAACTGACTCCTGCATGAAAGCTCATCGAAGGAATTCATTTGTTTAGTCAATTACCAAAATTTGGATGATTTTGAATATTCACTTGAAAAGTTATCAAAGAAAAACATTTTTCATTTTGTAACTTCGAGGGCCCGTTACTTGGTAACGAAAGATTTTAGGAAAAAAAGTTATATGAAGTACTGGTGATATTTTGACCCCATCTATACATTCCCGAGAGGAAGAGGAAGTCCAGGGACACCCTGTATTATGCAAAATCGTCGGTTAATGCGTGGAAAAAAAAACAAGCCTGAATTGTATATCAAAAAGGCTAAACGAAGAGACTACTGAGACTAGCAGCATTCTTAATCACAATGATCGCACAATGAATTTACGATGGATAATGGATTTCAGAATGCGACTACTCGGCTTAGCTACGTTCAGATATTTGTTATAAGACGAGTGAAGTGACTATGGAACATTGTGAAAGGTTCGAAAGAATCAATAAACGAAAGAAGAGTGTGAAAATATTGTACTGAGGTTATGTTTGTGTCAAAATGTTTTTAATATTGAGAGAAAAATAGACCAATATATGCCTGTGGTTACTTTTGCTGTTCTTATTGGAAAATTCATATTCATTTTATTTTGTACAATTTCAGCACCATATTCTCAAACTACTTTTTGAAATCCGGATGTTATGGGGAAACTACCGTTACTGAAATGTTTCGACTTTTTAGGCCGTTGTCTGTTGATATTTCATCCTGACGTTGGATATAGCGATATAACAGATCTCTGAAGATGCCAGCCATTTGCACCAGCGAAACGTCACATAACAATTCCAAAAGACTATAGCCTAAAAATCCGAAACTACAAATAGATACTGGTCCTAGCTTTTCTTACCGCAATTATTCATCATATTATTTCATTATATTATCATTAATGATAATTTTACAAACAACAATCACAAATGCTGTAATGCAAATGCATGAACATTCAAAATACACCAAAACAATTGCAAATGCGCATGTCACTCTTAAAGTCCATAGCACAGAATAGACAAGTCCATGGGCCCAGCATCGTACCGATTGGGTCACTTTTTCACTCAACTCATGAATAACGAGCACAACAAGTAGCACTTCTTTCACTCCGTTTCGTAAATCCGAACTATCCGGGAGTGAAAAGAGTTACTGGAGTTGATATCAGAACTCACCTCTTGTAGTTTTTCAATTGTCAACAGTCAATACCCTAACCTTGATGAAAATGTAAATATTAAAGTGGTTGATATGATTTTATACAACAAACTTTGATAAAGTGGAATATCTACTGTAATAAATGATGGAGAATGATACAAATTCAGAATTGAGATCTGGTAATTTTGTTAATTCACAGTAAAGACAGAAGTTATGGAGTCCCGTTTTTCAGATGTATATTTTTTGATCCAAAAATTTTTATCTTGTGGTTCATTGAAGAAGACATTGAAGGTTTGATTTATTATATATTAAGTTAATGCCTGTAAATATTCACATAAACTTATTTTTAAGGTATTCAATGAAGAACTGGAAGAACATAAAGTGAGTAATGTGGTATTATTATAAAACATCTTTTATTTTCACAAGGAATTATTCTTTCAAGGTACTCCCGAAAAGAATCGACTGGGAAGGAAATGAACATGAACGTTCTGTGGATGATATGATTAAACAATTTCCCCATATTCGACCTGATTATTTATTGCATTTGTGTTATCAGGCTACTAATTCATTTTTAAATGGCAGCAGCTCCAATGAAAACTCTAGCAGTTGTAGTAAAAATAGATCTTTTCTAAGTTTCAGACCAAAAAATTGTATTGGAAATGATATTTTAACAAATTTCAGACAATATTTCAACTATGTAGCTAGAAGTCACCTAACTCCTATACACAATATAGATGCTCCATTTAATATTGGTCAGTATATGATTATTGTAATTTTGAAACTTGCTGATATAATTTTTTTTTCAGTTAATTCCCTTCGGGGCAGGGAAGTATCAGGACCATTTTCAAGGCAAAGGGCTGTAACTCCAAATATATACAGATCTCTACAGATTCAAAGAACTACTATAGGACACCTTTCGGCAGTATATTGTTTATTATTTGATCATTCAGGAAAATTCATTATAACGGTAAAGTTCATGATTCATATCTATTAAAACTTACTAATAGTGTATTGTGATTTTCGCTATGATAGGTTTACAAAATTGCAAGCCTATTCTCAAAATAAATATCAGTAATTTATTTTTTATTTATATCCATTGGGCTAATTATTCTCAAGTATCTGGAAAACAACTGCTTTTAGAATCAGAGCATCATCTAAAGTTAATTAATAATCAAAGTAAACTATTGCAAGGACTACATAATATTGAACAATGAAAGACATGTATCATGGTGATGATGATAAGTGAAATGGCTGTTTCATTTTGAATAACTAGAAATTACAATTGATCACAGATATCCAGGGTCGGCCATTTGCAAACAGTGTTATTATGTTAATGTGTCACAGCTATTTTCTGGGTATTTAGTGAAAAGTGACTAGATTTCATTTATTTAATTCTCTTGCTCTCGGTTTAAATTATCTCAGTGTTTTTTTAATTTCTATTGCCTGCTTATATAATCTTGGATAGTAGCTGTTGAACACTAGGGTCTCTTCAACGTGATAATGTGGATGTTTACTCTTTGAGTTCATGTTCAGCTATTGTTGACTTGTTGATATGCCCCAGATGACAATTTCTCTTGAATTCAGAGATCCCAAGAGGAATTGTCTCTTGGATTCATTTATTTTTGTGGTTCCAGTGTATACCGATCCATGACTACAAGGGATACATCATACCTTCGGTCTTGATGAAGGCTCTCTGAAATCTTTAGCTGACCATAGGCTCTATCTGATAGTTTTATTGGACTGAATATCGATTTCACGTTGGGTTTCTCTAGAATTTCAGTCCAGTTCATAACATTCTTAACGTAGGACAGGTTTTCCTGTCCATCATGTCTGTTCATTAGTACATCCAAGAAGTCGATTGTTCCTTGGGTTTTTCATTTCATTGAGAACTGAATATTTTGGTAAAGGGAGTTCACATATGAAAGAAATTTCATCATAATCCAGCGAACACTATTGTTTCACAGCTGCCTGCTCTAAGGCATATTGTTCAAATTTTTTCACAAAGAAGTTTACTATCACAGCACTTGAAATGATTTTAAAATACCAATGCTTGGTATCGGAACCACCCAAATGAACAGTCATTTACAGCAATGTTATACAAGATCGAAATTTCCAAATATATGGAGCTAAAAATCAGAGGGCTGGTATATTTTTTCAGGACAGATTAGTAGAAAGCCAAAAACATTTTTTCCCAAAAAGTAATCTCTCTTGAAAAATATACCTCTTTCAACTTACCTTGAATTCATAAATTACTTCTCACTCTTCAGTTCATAACTTAGGCTGCAAGTCTGAAACACATTTACGCAGTAGAAGATATATTTTATTAAATGTATCCTTTCAATTTGCAGGGGGCAGACGACTTGTTGATAAAACTGTGGTCGGCCTATACTGGAAGGCTTATAGCAGTTTTTCGAGGTGCTTCTTCTGAAATAACCGATATTGCCATCAACTCTGAGAACACTTTATTAGCAGCTGGATCAATTGATAGAATTATCAGAGTGTGGAATTTACAGACTGGATTCCCTGTAATTGTTCTTACTGGCCACAATGGTATGATAACATCTGTAAACTTTTGTCCAACAGCATGTTGGGGTGTAAGGTTTCTGATCAGTACCAGTACTGACGGCTCCATAGCATTCTGGACATATACCTATGAGTCAGGGGTTAAAGCAGAATTCAGGTGAGTTCAGTGCACTGCTACAATGAGTTGATTTATTTCATAGGTGCCAGAAGTAATAATAATGTATTTTTTCATAGAATTGGTTGATACATGGTGAAAAACTATAAGGAGTTCAAAACCATATTCCTAAATTGGAGGTACCAGAAAAAGCCAATATTTAGTGAGATACATGATAAACTATAAGCAGTTTAAAACTTTATATCTATATTCGAGGGACTTGAAAAAGCCAATATTTAATGAAATACTTTGGCCGTTATTGAACAGTTATGTTAAAATTTCACAATGAAGTGTTATCAAATGTATTTACTTATGACTTTCTTTAGTATACATTCCATCTGAAATAAACAACTGCCAAATTTATATCTCAACATTTTCTGAAAATTACAGTATCATTACTGGGATACTCCAAGGTAATCAACTGGCTTCTAAACTTTTTTATTTGTAATTGACATTTCTACATATAATCGTCCAGTTTTTTGATGATTTGACTTTCTGAAGTAATAAAAATTGTGAGAAAACTGTCACTTGAAGCTAATAAAACATCATACAATCATAATGAAATAATTACAAATCAAAAATTAAAAACAAAGAATTTGGGCAGAGTTTAAATTAAAAGCAAAAGTTTAGAAGTAATCAGTCCATATAAGGTGATTTCATGAAACCCCGAATTGAATAAAAACAATTTTTGTGTGATATCAAATGGTAAATGCTTGTAAAGCTTAAAATCTAGTGAGTTTCGAGTTGACATTTCGAATCAGAGGCTGTCTGATCTTTAGTCTATATCTGGTGGGATCATTATTGTGAAAGTCAGATTGGACGAGAAGTGTACCTTTTATTTTATGAATCTCCAGCAAACTGGTTAGGCAAATTTAGAACCTTATCAAAAATCAAAAGAGATTTGCATTGTTCGTTGAAAAGCTCCAGCTATTATTCTAATAGCTTTTCACATAAAGATCCTTTGAGCATGAGAGGATTTTCCCCATAAAAGAGTTCCATAAATTAGGTGAGAGTGATAGGAAGTTAATAATGTGTGGTGACTCAGATTCCTTTTCTGTTGGGAAATAAGGTAGAGTTGAGTTGATAATTTATTGTCCCTATTTAATGAAAGCTTGTTAAGAGTGAACCAGTTTTTTGCATTCCATTCAATTTCATTACTTTCTGATATCCGAACTGGACTGAATTGCTGCGGTATCGTACACAAAGCAAATGACTTTGTTAGGTGGTAAATAACGGAACAGGTTTATTAAATANGTGTAGAATATGTTCAAGATATAACCATAAGATGATGACTCATCAAGATGAATAAACCTCTGAAGAAGCCAGCCATTTGTGCTGGCGAAACGTTACGATACAGTTCCAAACCACGACGGCCTTCAAACTCAAATGAAGATCGTAACAACCAATTCATTAAAAACTAAATAATTTATAAATAGTACAAAAATTATAAATAAAAACTTATGTAAATCTTGCCTAGATTGTTTGGTTACCACAGTTGTTAAATTAGGAATAATAAGAGAAAAAGTCGAATGGAGACAAGGAATTAATTGCAATTTTCTACCCTAAAAACCATTAGCCGGACGAAAAAATGGCAAGAGACCATTTTTATGAGAAGATTGAGAGCAAGTAAAAAAACAATATTTGCAAAAAGGACAGTGGCGTATCATGATTTTGATGAAAATTACGACAGGGCATGTTAGCAGGGACGCCACTGATGAACATTAAGAAAACCTTTACAATGGATGTTTATGCATACTGGGGAGAAACGATTTTTTTGTTAAATTTCAACATCCTGTATATCAGAAATAAATGAATGCTAATCCACGTTCATATAAAGAATTTTTCTTGAAATCATCCAACGATTTTTGCCCTTCAGAATCAGCATTCATTTATGAAACGCCCTGTATAATGAATTGAAAAAAAAACTATAAATTGTGCTCATGCGAAGCAGGCGCACCTTGCTAGTTAGATATGAAACAAATTAATATCTTTACAAATAGTTTATGACTCATTATCATTATTAAAGAGGTTATGTCATTCAAGTAAAACTGAAGTTTGAAATGTTTATATTTCTTTCTCTGGAAAATTTTGCTAACCATTTCTCTTGATGATGATGTTGTAAGTTGATATAAACTTTTAAAAAATTATCAACTCCATATAAACGTATATAATGCATGAAATAAAATAATTTTGCATTAATATTCCCAACAAAACCACTTGTATTCGTCTTGAAGATAAAGTGGAACAAATAATATCTTAAATGTTCTGAAATATTTCTGGATACAAAGAGTAGAAATAGAATGTTTCAATTTTGATATAATTTTCATATCTACAATTCATGCTTTTAATTTATGATGTTTCTCTTTTTGATCATTTTTTCAATTTTGAGATCTACTTGGACTTGAAAATTAATGCTTGTGATTCCAGTACAACAAATACTTCAGAAAGTGACACAAAGAAGCTGAAGGTTACAATGGTGTGTTGGAACAAAGCTGATTCTTGGGTGGTCACGGCAGTTAGTGATTACACATTAAAAATCTGGACCGCAACTAAGGGACAACTGATAAAGATTCTTTCTGGACACTCCGATGAAATCTATGTTTTGGAGGCCCACCCTTCTGATAATAACATTATATTATCAGCTGGACATGATGGTCAATTACTCATCTGGGATATTTTGAAAGGTGAAATAGTATTTCGATTCTTGAATACAATTGAAGGCCAAGGATTCGGTGCTCTTTTTGATGTCAAGTGGAGCCCAAATGGATGCATGATAGCTGCCTCTGATTCACATGGACATATCCTCACTTTTGGGTTTGGAAATGGTAGCCCCTTCTTTGAACAGGTAAGTTACTCTTTTTCTCAACCTTTTTTCATTAGGAAATCAGATGTGTATGCTTGATTTTGAATTTTTTAAAGTTGTTATAATCAAAGACAACTGATAACATCAGTTATCTGTTTTTCTGTTTCCGTG